ACCCACCTACTCCTGCCGTGCCAAGTATCCAAGAGACTAGGAAATTTTGTCTGTGGAGAGGGTACCCTGACCCTCTTGTGGGGTTCCTCATACGTTGGTTTTCTCTAGCTATATGGCAGTGGATGTCTCCGTGTTCTAGAATTTTCTGCATAGAGGAGCACAAATGATAAATACTGGGATTATAAATGACACACGACTTGTTTTTAATTAAAATATGGACCACACAGTCTCTACTAGCTGATTTTCAGATTCTTGGATGTTGCCAGGCCATTTCCATATTGGCTCAAGTGAAACAAAGAGGAAGAGAAAGCTATGGGACAAAGTATCATCTAATTTATTCTAGCACAAAAGGGCTTTGTATCTCCAATTAACACTTAATGTGTGCTTTGTCATAGTCCAAAATGGGATCTGGATCAGGAACCCTGGTCCTGGGTCTGTAGGATTCAGAGATGCTTTTGTGGGTTATGGAGAGGGGCTATGTTTCTCATGCTATGGAGAAGATTGCAGTAGTCACTCCTTGACTATGCCCCATCTAACCTCATTCCATGAGATCCATCTTGACCCCATTGCAAGTTTTGAGCTGCACATATATGACTACTCTGGCTCTAGGAGTCTGTGCTGTCATGGACCATCCCATTTTTTCGCACTCTCTGGGAAAAGGATGCGTCCAAGGTCCAGGCAGAGTGGTGGTTTTGCAGTTTCATGAAGAGGCAATGTGAAAATTTGGGGGCAGGACATTGAGATGAATGTGGGAAAAGGTTCTTGGCAGCTGGATATAATCTATAAGTCCTTCACACCCCTGGCTTGAGAGGGTCCTGATAGCCATGCTTTTGAATTTCTCTCCTTGACTCACTGGTGCAGGAAGAGGAAGAGGCTTTTTTTTTTTTTTTTGGTTTGGGGCCAAAGAATCCTAGTGTTTGATGCAAAACAGTCATTTTCAAAATGATGCTTTAAGCGGTGGGATTCCAGCTTCAGTGACAACTTTGGCAGGTGCTTTATGTGAGAAGACAAAGGTCTTCATCTCAGAGCTGGGAACTCTGGGGCAGACACTTTTCTACTGTCTGTCCTGTGCATCTCTGTCCCCTACCCACCAACTGTTAGTGTTAGTCTTTACCCAGTTGTCACAGTCAAAACTGTCTGCAGATAGGAACAACTGTCCCTTGGGAGACAAAGTTGCTTCCTCATGAGAACTTGGCTATTAACGTCCTAAGGTGGAGACAATTGAAATGAGGTAAGGGAGAGAACTCAAGTATATTTTGTATCTCTCTACCTGCTCCTCCTTGTCCTTGATTGAAACAGGTGACACTAGGTGGGTGAAGGGTTGTGGGTCTCTGTAGGGGTCCAACTTGTCACGAATGCTACCATCTTCCCACCATCACCCTGAGAGCTCTCTTCCCTCTGAACCCCCCAGCAGGCTTTGTGAGACATCTGTGGGTAGAACCGGTCTAGCTCCTGTCACGAATCCTTTATTTAAGCCCTGACCTTCCTTTAAAAATGCATACTTATTGAACTGGAGTACCCAGAAAAAGCGCCAGACATGAAGAACCCTATGTACTGGCACTAGGTTCTTCCTTCCCTATTTGGCGTTAATGAAACCATGCCAATTGTACTCTCTTACCTCATCCTATTCATTTGTTATACTTCGTAGAGCCAGCCTTTTCCAAAGAAACTTGTGGCCTTCTATAGCAGCCAGCAGAGTTACCATAAGTGACCTCCCTTGTTTGGTACCAAGCAGTGAGTCACTGAAGACTTGGCAGGCCACGGCCAATGTCATTTACAAATGTCAAAGCTGCACCTCAACTGCCATGATTCTTCTCTGCCCTGCTGTCACCCTCTGTGGGTGTTTTCTTCCTTTAAAATATCTGTTTATTTAAATATACATAAGTATTTTTTTTGCTGCTGCTGCTGTTGCTTGTGTGTGTGTGTGTGTGCGCGCGTGCGTGTGCGCGCCTGTGGAGACAACCTATCAGAGTTAGTTCCTCTTTTCATCTTGTGTAATTTCAAATATCAAATTCAGGTTGTCAGACCCAGTGGCCTTTACCTGGTGACTCATGAGTGCTTTCTTGATGTTGTTTTCCTAGAAGTCATGAATGATAGGCTTCCTGTCCTACCCTTCTGCCACAATGGGTCATTGAAATCGATGATGACCATACTCTTCTGCTTTAAAAAAAATTAACTATGGCCAAGAAAGCAGAAGTATGATGCTATCTGTACTCGCAAACCAAGAAAAGACTCATCATATAATCCCCATGGTTAGTGTCTTCCAAGGACTTCTATGTATCCAGTCCTACAAGGGCTCTTGGTTGTTGTTTATTTTTAGTATTTTGTGGCACTGGGATTGAAGTCTGTGTCTCAGGAAATCTAGATGGGTAGTGGAGCTATACCCCCAGTCCCTCAAGAGCTCTTCAATCCATTCCTTCAATTTTCTTGTCATGGTTACGAGGCAGACATTTTATTTTTCCCATTTGACATCTGAGCAAAGGGAGGCACAGGCAGGGGAGTGGTGTGGAGGAGTGTAATTGGTGGAGTGGTCCTGAGGCTAGGATTAGCATTCTGGCAACCTTGCTCTAGGCAGGGCTTGGCAACATGTTTTTTTCTGTTAAGGGCCAGAGAGTAAATCCCATCCTTGCAGGCCATCAACTTCATAATTTGAAAGTAGCTATGGGTGACAATGAACTTCATGAGCTTAGAATTGTATATTTCATTTAATTCTTATAGGTCACAAAATATGTCTTTCCTCTGATTTTTTTTAAAAAACAAAATATGAAACTGAATATTGGTTTTGAAGCTATACATAAGCAAGCAGTGGGCTGAATTTGGCCCTACCCCATAGTTTACCAATGCCTGTCCCAGAGCTCCAATCTCTCAGAACTCTGCAATCTGGTTGCAACACTGGTGCTCCATGACTGAGGAGCATCGGAAGCAAAAGAGGATGCTGGGGCCGTTATTTAACTCACTGGAGGACTCCAAACCAGTGTGTCACTCATTTGTCCCTTCGCAGTGTGTGGCAAGTCTAGGAAGGGTCCATTTGTGAACATAAATCATAAAGACTGAAATGAATGAAGTTTCAGAATGTAATGACTGGCATCTCTACAATCATCAAAACCCATTTATGGAATGCTAATAGGGGCCAAGAAAGTGATTTCATTTATTTAAACAATTTGATTGATAGCTGCTTGTTGGAAACAGATCCATGTAGGAAGCTGGGCTCCCATGAACGAAGAACATGCTGTATAAACACTGTGATCTTCTTGGTATTTGACATGGCCCATGGCCCAGGAACATACACTGGAGGGAGTCTTAGAGTACAGGTGGTCCTGTTCCTCTTGGCTTTCCTTTGCATCTGAAATATTGTCAGTGTCCCTACCTCTGTGAGATCAGGGCAGGAAAACTGCCTTGAAAACATGAGGCTTCCAGAGAGAAGGTGTCAGAGTTAGAGGCCAGTGCCAACCTGGCCACCTGGTCAATGTCCCTAACAAATGCCAGTATTTCTGGCTGCTCCATGGGGGCTCTGGGAGAATGTGTTTCAAAATGGGCTCTTGGCATACCTTGTCACTGTGTGTCTCTGAAACACCGCCAGAAGTCCTGGCAACCACAGCCCGGTTGCCTTCTTGGCTCCAGTTGGACTGGGCAGCAGATGGCGGAACTACTGGTATGGTTGGGGTAGGGAGGAGCTGTCTGGGCAAAAGTGGTGGTCACTTTTCTGACTAGTGTGTACCTTAGGTAACTGGATTCTTTACTGAAATGGCACTGAGAACTTTTGTATATTGCAACCTCTGGATACCGAGGAGAGTCAGGTTCTAGGAGGGCTGGGGTGGATCATTTCCCAGGATCTTCTGGCACCTCATGGAAGGTCATCTTTCATACAGTGAAAGAGTAACAAAAAGGTCTTGGTAATTAGCAATGTGGTAGTTTTCCGCTTGGGCACTCTAAAGTCAGCAGTGAAGAAGTATTTGTCCTCTGTCAGTGTTGAGGGACTAACAAAAAGTAGACCCAAACTCATGACCAGCCTTCTCATAGCAACAGTCTCGATCATCTTTGCTTTGAGCTGGAGTTTATGCCCTGGGACAGCTAACACTGGTTTGTGCCTGTTGATAAAGAGCTTCGATTAACAGTGAGTTTTGTCTCTGATTAATCTCAGAATATGAATTAATTGTTACTTAATAAGTGTAGTCTTGCTGGACACAACCTTCTTTAAAATAGAAATTTCTTGAGGGAACACTCTGGAAAGAGATCTCTCGTGGTGGGAGGAGGAGGATCTGCTGTGGCAGGGTATCTCTACTTCACAAAGAAACAAGAGACACAAATTAGTTAATGTCTGTCTAATCTGCACTGGAGTCTCAGAGATGAAACTGAACTTGCTTCCCAGTGTTTCCATGTTACACTCTTCCTACTGCCCCGTGGTGTCACTAGGGGGCCCCATCTCTGATGTTACTTGTCTGTCCATCCCAAACCCTTGGTTTTCTTGAGCTCCAGATGGAATGAACTGTGGTCATGCAGATGGAGTGATTTTTTTGTGCCCTGGTGGGTGAATGCTCCACCATGTGTGTCTTTCTCCTCATCGTGTCTGCCCAGAAGTCATGTTCTCAGACAAGCCACACCCCAATTCTCCAAACCCTGTCATTTACATTGTCTTGCTGTGCAGGCATTAAGAAATTAAAATAAAAGGAGTGTATAAAGAGCTTGACCTTAGCAAATCCTGAAGAGGAGCAAGAAGGAAGTAAATTGAATCACAGTTTTGAGCAATGGGTTTGAAGTATTCCGGAGCTGGGGATTCTGAGCACTCCATCCTCAGGCTATACACTTAGAAACCCTGAGTCCTTCGCTCCTGTCCACCCAGAGGGAGAAACTGAGCTCGGAGTTAATTGGTGATTTGTCAGAAGTCATGGCTCAGGCTCCAGGCTTCAAGCTCGTGTCTGACTGTAAAGCTGGCACACCCTCCCATACCCCCCCACCCCCACTCTGGCCACAGTATCCTGACCTCTCCTCTCTTCCTGCAGACACATAGAGAATTGGCGAGGCCTGCACACACTTAACGCTGTGGACATGGAACTCTACACGGGACTCCAGAAGCTGTGAGTACGCTGGGATGGCTTGCTAAGGGACAACTGGGATGCTGCCTGTGGTCTCCTGTGGTGAAGTAGCAGTAATGGGAAGTCTTCTGTCTCAGTGCTTTTTCTCAGGAATCTTCTTTGGGGATGGCTGGCATCACCCATTTAGGGGCTGTTAGGGGTCACCTCAGCCTGGACAGGTGTTAGGGTCTCAAGGCAGCCTTGCCCCCGGTGCCTCCTGGGAGTGTGTTCTGTCTTCACTCCTGTGCTTGTCACAACCCCACACCCCATCCCCAGGATTCTCATTCACCACTGCAGTGAACTACAGCGCTTTAGACATGGGGCACCAGGTGTGAGGAGGAGAAGGCACAAGAGACTGAAATCTTGTGCCTTGGGGGCCCCAGGAGCCCTGGTTCTCAACTGCTGGTCAGAACGGGGAGTGACCAGCTGCAGTCATTGACTGCTCATATTGCATCCTTCACCTAGTTCTCCAAAGGAATTGGGTTTATGTCTCTCATTGAACCCACAGTTGGCCATCTAGGGTGACTAGTGATGAAGAGAGTTACAGTCCACTTACAGGGCTTGCCTTCCTTCTGGCTGTAACCTCTGGGATTTTGCTGACCTTCTTTTTTCTCTGCTTAGGACCATCAAGAACTCTGGACTCAGGAACATTCAGCCCAGAGCCTTTGCCAAGAACCCACACTTGCGTTATATGTGAGTAGAACTGGGTTTCGGGGGAAGGTGGGGGTGCATGCATGGAGATTAGTCTTGGACAATGAGACTGGCTTTGGTATTTGTTGTCCTTGGCCAAATCCTTCAACTTTCCTAGGTCTCCGATTTTGCCTCCTTAGCGTGAGCATTTGGGATTTGATAATCTCAAAGGTTTTCACTAGAAGGAAGCCAGGGCTGAGTGGGAGAGTCTCCTCTCTAGCAAGTTTGTACCTTTTTAATAATGTAATTTGCAATTTTATGGGAATGTAAGTGACAGGGACTTAATATGAACACGACTCTTCTGAGAGTCTGTGTAAGAGTGTAGTGGTGTGTATGTGTTGATGTTGGGAATTACCGGAAGAAGGAAAGCAAGACCAGACTAAATACAAGAAGAGTCTAGATCCAATACAGAAAAGCTTTGAGGGGTGAAAACATGTGCATAAGATCACAGGTCTTGATTTGGGATGAGACAGTGGACACATGGTCATGGGTATCAGTCTATTTGTGTCTCTCGCCATGGGGTGGATTCGCCAGGTAGTGGCTCTGGATAGGCCTTGCAGGAGTGGAATCATCCACGTGGATGCTCCTTCTCCTAGTCTAGATCTGGGTAGGTAGACTATGAGATTTGGAGGGAGGGCAGTCCTTAGTTGCGAAGCAAGGGAGCATGAAAGAAAGCCTACAGTAAGTGATCAGGAGAAGACAACTGACACCTCCACAGGGTATACTTGTTGTCTGGGTCAGCTTTTTCTCAAGAATAGTCTTGTGGATCTTCAATGGATAAGCCCCCAAAGAACAGAAAGTATTCATAAACCCGATGGCATGGGATCTGCCGCAAGTGGGATGGAAACAGAGGACCTAGTGGCAGGTTGGCCAGTCTTTCTTTTGGCCACTGTAGGTGGCACTTGATGATGGGAGGCAACTTGCTAGGTCAAAATCGCTTATGAAGAAGCAGAGCTTCCAAGGGATGCTGTAAAGAGTGGCGAGCAGGGGATGTAGGGGTCGGAAGAGATCTTGAGCAATAATGGTTGGGGAGTGGTTTCTTTTTGCAGAGGTCCCGGATATACTCTCAGGTCTGTGCATTTTCCCGTGCATGGGGTGAATAGCTCTTTATCTCTTTCAGCCACTTCTTTGTGTTGAATTTGCTTTCTTTCCTCTGGAAATAGCAAGCTCCCTGGCTGTTGCTTGGGGCCGTATGTACTAACAATGGGGGACTGAGAACTCCCTTTTAACTGTCTAACTCAGCTCTTGCTCCTGCGTCCTGGTTTACGTCCTATGGCATGATTCTCCCGACATGTGTGTTCTTTGCAGCCATTGGTATAGCTGCAACCAGGGAAGGGCCTTGGACCAGATGTTCCAGGTGTTTATTTTATTGGGGATTTGAGTTTCATTGTAAAACTTCCCAAGGGAAAGAGCTTTTGACATCTGAGAGGTCTCCTTTTCCACAACATACAGAGGTGGGGACAGTTGGGGTTGTGGAACCGCGTGGCAGTCCCAGCTGACTACTGTTATGTGAGGTGCAGCCCAACATCACCAGACTTTCTGTTTATTCAAGATGAGCTGAAGCATCATCACCCACTCAGCAGGCTCTGTTAGACATGGTGGGGACTCCAGAGGAGTCTGAAGGTTACAGATAGCAGAGATCACAGAGCCAGGCACACAGTCTGGCTTACCCACGGGTTTTATGAGTGAACTTCGTCCATTTATGAAGACACACCCCAAATCCCTACTGAGTGAATTTCCCGGCAGCTTTGGGACATTTTCTCCTGGCAAATGGTCCAGGTTTCACTGCTCTCTCACAACATCTTCTATTTCTGTCTTCTAAATGCATTTACAAGTCTTCAGGCCCCAGCTGAGCAATCACAAGGCGATCACTTACTCCAACACTAATTGCCAAGCCTTGGCTTGGCGGCTGTTTCTTTCTTTCTCCACTCCCTGCCCCCCCTTTAAAGGGAAATGGCTGAGAAGATGTTTCTTCTCCCCGCTGTACAAAATAAGAAGCAGGAAGTGATATTCTTGCCCAAGTCACCCCAGTCATCCGACGGGGGCAACACAACTGTCCTTCATCTCTGAGTCTGTCCCAGTCACCAGTATAATTCCTCCCCACATCAGAAAATGAGCCTATGATGTCAAGGTCAAGTTTTGGCAGCAAGTGCGGTGGGACACTGAAACCTTAGTTGTCTTAAGGTTTATGAGGGACTGTTTCCTATTGACTGCTTCAGCTTTCTCCCTCTTTTGCTGGGTCTAAAAAATTGAGATATTGGTGAATACTTTCAGAAAGTCCTTTCTGAGGGACTGGATTTTTTTTTAACCCTCTTGCATAGATCAAGGAGCCTCGAGGAGAGGATAAGGAATTTTCAACTTGATCATGGGAATATCAGCTTGCTAAGCTGTAAGTTGAGCATAAGGGCAGTGCCTGTTCTAGGCAAAGACTGCATGGCTAATGTCCTGTACAGCTTTTAGCCCAGTAAGTAGAGTTCAGAAATGATGCTTACTGGTAACAATAATGTGTTCTGCTGTTGCTGATCGCAGAACCCAATGGGAGGGACAAGAAGGTGTCAGTGGCCTCCCTGACCTATCTTTATCCTGGAACAGCTGGATTTCTGCTCCACACATTCCACCTCCCCTGTGCCTGCAATATACCTGTTTTTAGTATCTTCTGCCTGTTGTCCTTGAATGTGGATGAGTCAGCCTGGATACATCCCTTTCTTCTCTCTACCCAGTCTCTCTTGCTTTTGTCTATGCAGACCACTCTAGATGCTGCTCATCCCAGGTAAGGCCTCAGTAACATATGAGTCTATAATTTCCTTGTTTCTAAATGTTTAGAGGCCACATCTATGAGCACTGTTGAATGCGGATTATCCCCTGAATCTTCTGAGACCCACTTTTGTGGCTGGTTCTTTAAGAAAGTTGTTTTCTGTAGCGAGGCTCACATACATTCTGGGTCCCCAGGGGTGATGTCTTCATAAGGAGAATAATGTAGGTGCCTTCTATGGACCGTGCTCGAGTGATGGTGTTTCCCTTCCTCTTAGAGCAATTCCTGGTTTCCGGGGAACTTCCGTATACTTCATGTCACCAAGTTCTCACAGCCATCCTGGTGGCTGTTGTAGTGGGAGGCTTTATTTCATAGCCAGAGAGAGCCTCGTTGGTAAGGAGCAGAAGCAGAAGCCTGCCTAGGTTCTTAGAGTCTTTTCCCAGGAATCTGTCCATTATACCTTGGGGTGAGAAGGTCAACAACAACAAAAACCAATCAACCAAACCAATCCCCCCCCCAAACCCCCTGAGATGCTTAGCAAATTGCATTAAGAATACAAGTCTCGAGGGGAGAGATTGCTTCGCCCGTAAAGTGCTTGCTGCATTTGATCTCCAGAACCTGTGTAAAAAGCCAGACCTGTTGGGTTTGTAATCCTGGCACTGGGGAGGCAGAGACAGGATTGTGCTTCCTAGCCAGCCAGCTGGGTCAGCCACCCCAGGCCAGTGAGGGAGCCATCTCACACAAACAACAGAACCGGATCCTGAGGAATGACATCTGGAGTTGACCTCTGCCCATCACATGCACACAGGCGTATGTACACACAGACACAGGCTCATGCCACACACACACACACACACACACACACACACACACACACACACGTGTGCTCGCGCGTGCCACACAAGCACATACATGTACACATCTCAAAAAAGAAGGAGAGGCTAACTAATACTCATTAAGAATTTACTATGAGCCTAGCTAGGAATGGCCCTAGTGCTTTTGCAGGTTTGGACTCACGTCACTCTGCATAGTGTCTACCTGAGAGCTCCTTTGTCCCCATTCCGTAGATGAGCACTCTGAGTCCCACAAGTCACTGGATTTTTCCTCAGGTCACATTGTGAGCCAGTGGAGTAGTCAGGCTGGGGACTCCCATCCCTGTGTCTCTGTAGTCTGTGTACTTTCTCACATTCCCAAGCGTTTCTTCCCTCTGCTTTTCTTAGCAAGTGCTTCACATGGGAGGGATGTGGGGTCTTTAAACTTTTATTAGAGAGCTGCAATTTCTCCCTGGAGATTTAGCACCATCCAGCCTCAAAGAGCTCGGGCTGAGAAAGCTGTTTAGTTTCTTTCCCTATTCAGGTCGGATCCTGTACCAATGGCTGCATTACTAACTGAATATCTTTATTGTGAAAGATTTCGTAGTGTTAGCCTATGGCCTACTTATTTCCAAGAATATTTAATGTAAGATTCCAGCAAGCCAAAAGAATTTCTTTAATCCCTGAGAGTTGGTTGTGGTGAGATGTCTCTCACATTAAGTTGCTGTAAGCAGAAAATCGCTGGATATGTTCAGCTGGGAACCCCGGGCATGAGGGCGGGATAAGGAGGGAATGCCTCCATTTGGACATGATTGTGGCAACGATGTTACGCTTCCAAGGACAGAAGGTCAGCAGTGTTTAGATAGATAGGGATAAAGGAAATGGCTGGAGGTCCCACCCTCCTGGTCACTGACTGGACAGTGTGCAATTCATTTCTCCTGAGGGAACAGGGATGGAAACATGGTGAGGCTGATTAATTATGTATTACAAATCACTAGAGGTTGAAATAGCCTGATTTTGGATTCCAGGCTGATAGGCTGATATTTTTAATAATAAACGTTTACCTCCCTGCCAGCCCCTTACCTCTGCACTGAGACTTTTTTTTTTTGGTGAGTCCCAGTGGGGTTGATGACTGGCATACTTGTCCCCTTATTGCCTCCATGCATGTGGCCTTCCTTCTCTGTTCTATGTGGAGGATGCAGCCATTGAATACTCTACAATACTGATCGTAATGGACCAAGGGCTTTGAAGAGTCAAACCTGAGATTTTTACTTAAGCTGTGGACCTTAGGGAAGCTGGTGACCTTCGGAGAGTTTGGAAGGAAGTATAAGATCCCATCCTACTTAGGACGGTTCTGAACTGTCAATAAGACAAAGCATGCAAAGAACTTAACTCAGCATATTATTAAAGGCTCAGCAAACCCCATCCCCTTACCCTTC